GCGAAAACAGCATCGGAATTAGTCCGAAATCAGAAAATCGCTTGTCGAAGACATTAATATAGCAACCAACTGGAAAAAATGGTTAGAGTGATAGGTGTACTGAAAGGAAATCAAGAAACAAAGCGAAAGAGAGTTGTGCATTGAATTGGCATTCACCGGGCAATGCTAGCTGCTAAAAGGAGCTATCTATTAGAAATTTATGTCCAAGGACGGAGCATCCTTTCCCTTTATCCCTCTCCCTTCCTTTTGGAGTCGATTAATCAGTACCAGACTCGACTGAGAAGGTAAAAGCACTGACTCGTACATCGGCTGGCCACAGCAATCAATCGTACAGGCCACATCCGCCTTCGTTACGTCAATACGACTCTGAATGGAAGTCAAATGCGGAGCGTATCCCTTAGACGTGATTGATCAACGCCCAAAACGTTTATCTTTTTGTCCTTACCTTCTGATCAATCGAATTTTACCCTTCGCTGTTCACAACTGTATGGCAAGCTCGGCACCTTCTTCGGGTTGTTCAAGACCTGCACCCGTCAATTCATCCCATCTTCCGCATGCATCTTGGAAACGGGATGTTAACGACAAAGGCTTTATGCAACCAAATGCTGTACATTACTCCTCACCATCTTTAGGTCACAACAGGTTATTTACAAAACCTTGTTTTGTTTTGTTCAATGCTGGTCTATATGGCAAAGTCGACTGTCGTCCCCTCTCGAGAGACTAAACAGAAGGGCGAAGGATTTCGGAGAAGGGTTCCGAGTTTTCAACAAAACTCACTCCCACTTTGGTTCAAACTGCTCCTCCTTTGACGTCTCTTTACGTTTGAAGGCCCATTGTCCACAAAGCGCATATTTTTCAGTAGAAAAGCTTTGAACCACTATGAATTAATGAAATAAACTCACCAATAATGTTACCCACTCCAATCATTGTACAGTAATACGCTGGCAGATAAATATTTGTTGATAACATTTTTGTGAAGGCAAACGTTGTCGGATACGCGCCTAACCAGTATGACACGTGGAAACCATAAAAAAGAAAGAAACATGTTAGAAGGAGCATTCTTGGCTCCCGTGCCGCATCCATGAGTTGGCCTTAATTATAATGTTAGTGTTGTGGGATATTCCGACGTCTGTTCAGAAGCTCTTTAAGGCAGTCTACATTTAATTTCAGAGCACTGACTATCTGGTAACAAAAAGAGATCTTGTCTGATACCATTTGATAGCGAGTGTCAGAAGAAATCAACAGCCAGCTCCGTTAAGTTTTTGTGGAGGGGAACTGAATGGAAGGGATCCTGTTGCTTTAGTGGTGGGATCGACGTCACAATTTCCTGGCTGCTTGGAGAAAGGATGTGATAATAACGATGAAGGCTGATAAGGAACCTAACAAAATGATAGTCACTGGGGGTTAACGTCTTCCGTATTATCATTGGAGAAATGACAGATCCGATTCTCCCAATTTGTATCTTGTACCGCCCTTGACAAAAATGAACAAACACCATATAGCTGCAGGCCAACCCTCGCAACTCCTTTTTGATACCAGATTTTATAGGTAAGCCCAAAGGCCTGCTTGGAAATTCATGAAGCGTCATGGGTCGTGGGCCCTTTCCATTCCATTTCCTTATCATGTAGAACTTAAGATCTTCAACATAGAAAAGCAAGAGAGCCCATTAAGGTAAACCTTACTCAATTGAGTGCGGAGGGTTGACTTCTCCACAGCCTCCAATTCTGAATCTGTTGTCTCTTTCTTCGTCGGCATCAAAGCAAAGATAATGTTTGAGGCTAGAGAAAAGCCTAGCAGAACTCCATAAATGATATAAATTTCGCTGTTCGAGAAGTCTCTGAATTAGGCATTCTGTAATCAGTACTTGATTGTGAGGTATCGAGACCGAGTCTATGGAGATTCACCTGTAACTCAACCCTTCAGTTCCTACCGTGGCTTCATATATCGTCTTGTTTTGTGCTCTTACATAGAAAATGATAAAGAGGACCACTCCACCCACTAACATGCTGGAATAGATCTCTTCTGTGGTATTCTACCACCTGAGAAAGTTTTCTGATCGAACCTACTGTTCCCAATTGAGCTGACTAGCGACGAGTTACGCGTAATGGTGTTCCGAGTCGAGTGTTCGGACATGTAGAGGCCTTGGCCACTGTAGTATACTGTAATAGCAAATTTTCTCGTTTTCAGTTTTCATTCTTTCATGTAGTCACAAAAAGCGAAGCGAGCTTTGCCCTTCATAATGTCGGTAGAGGAGAGCTAGGTTGGAGAAGTACATTGACAGTGATCGTCTGGAAGGCAGGCTCGACTATCAAAAACAGTTAGGATGAGATTTGGAGGGAGGTTATCACCTTGGTTTGTGTAAACCTCGATCGATATCCGCCCTGGCCAACTAAAGCTCCCATCTCTCCGGGGTCGCCTTTTGATAACTAGCTATCTGGCTACTAGTGGCAACCTCTGAAACAGCAAGTTTGTTCATCATGTCTTCCTCACCTATTCCTCTAGCCGTCGTTTTTCGTCGCAAAATACCGAAAGGCCCAGAAAAGCAAGCAAAAGTGTGGGGGAGTTCGTGTTCTGTGAGGAAACCTTTTGGGAAACAGATCGACAATTATGGAAGGTGTTCCTAGCCGACGCCAGTGATGGAAGGACTCATGGTCGAATTACAGCAATAGCGAAAGTATTATAATACAAACACATACATGCAAAACCAATTCCCATAAGTGCTTGAGAGAGATAGTAATAATAGGAATTGAGCATGAAGAAGCCAGCTTGATACATGGAGAACAACACACTTCCAGCGAACAAGGACCATTTAGATCCGATACGATAGCATATCCATGGCGCGAACAATGTCGACAGTGTATAGGCTGCATAAAGAACACCTTGCCTGCAATGGTTAACGACTATTCTGAGGAGATGTCCGCAATGGATCTACGAGAGAAGCAAAACTCTCTGTCATTGATAGATAAAGGATAGAGGATAAAATCTTAAAGGGCTGACCGATCCCGTTTGTTGAACCCGCCCTGCACTCGACTTCCATCCAGAATTGTGATTACGTATTGAACGCGTGTGTGGCCTTTACAATGAATTCTACGGTGCCCAGCCAATTTACAAGTCAACAGTTTTACCCTCTCAGACAGACTGATACCAATCAGAGAGGGGTGGAAGGCTTATTTGGCCTATGCGGATATTGATCCGAGATTAGAACTCGTGACCATGCGTGTGGGATACTGCGCCACTTACCACTACGCCACCTCCGCCCTTAATGGATACTGCACTAAGTTATATTGAAATTCGTATATATGACGTCGTGAAACCAATGCCGTGTGGATCGTCTTTCCACAGCTATTCTCAGTTAGATGTCTCGCCTTATCTGTCTGTACTACCTTAACTATAAGCAGTGATGGGCCCTACAGCAAACACTAAGATATTCAGCGGCGCAGTATTCATTTCAGAATCCTATCTGTGATATTGCTAACATCCGCCAACTTGCTAAGAGTAATCGAGTGGGCGAGGAAGACACTGTCGTACCTCCTACGATCATTAGAGCTTTCTTCTAGTGTCTCAAAGCAGCTGCTAAAAAGGGCCGATTAGAAATCTCGCACAAGCATTTGACGCTATCGCTTTCCTCAGACCACCGTAAACCAAAAGACGGAGGTGGTGAAATGGCAAAAGGCGCACTATCGCGCATACGGTTCAAAGATCGAATCTTGGATTGCAGCCAGCTCGCTCAGGTATAGCGAGCCTTTCACCTAATTCGGATCAGCGCAATGAAGCGCCAACTGGCTATCACGATTCATTGTATAGACCAACATGCACTCAAACGAACGGCCACTACCTTCTGCATGGAAGAGTCCCGTAAGAATGCGCATTCCAAAAACGTGATTTGATGATCGCCAAAAGATTTTATCCGTTATGGCAACTCACCCGTAATATCCGGCATGTTTAGCTATACTTTCTGGCGATCTCATATGTACTGAATGCAGCACTGACTCAACAATCATTGATTGTGTATCGTATCCAGTCATAAGACACAACGTTCCAAGTCCTAGACAAAGAATGCAGATCAACCCATTCCACCATCGTCGATCCATCCTTGTAATCTAGAAATACAAATCTGAGTAGAAGTGCTTCTGAGAATGTTGACTTCATTATACTCTCTCAACGCCGCTTAAATACGATAAAGCAAATTTTCAAAGTTCGAAAGCTGTAAATAATAACCAAATGGCCAGATATTGATGTTGACTAACAATTTTACAACTAAGAGACCAGCATTGCATGAAAAAGCGAGACCCAAACAGACCCAAACTATGGAAAGTATTTCTGCTCTCGATCTATGGCATAGCGCCAGTTGAAAAATGGACTGATAAAGGTTTTACAGCTTCAGATTTTGGGCTACACAGTAATCCAGCGTTCACTATGGAAAGTAGTGGCACATAAGAGCCTATTTGGCCCATGCCGATTTGAAAACCGGACGCATCTTGGATCAAATAACGGGATACAGAGAAATGCAACGCCTGTCCAACCTGAGGAGGTATGACGACAAGATTTCGCTTCCATGTTGAGATTTAGCCATTCTTGAAAGGGGATAGCGCCAAACATTCGAGAGGAATCAACATGCACAGTGCCTATTCACAATCGGAACGGAAACCAACGCCAAATTCATGGATTTTGTTACTTTTACCGAGCGATCCGGTCGTAGTAGACAAGAATTGAAGTAGTGTAATTTAAGTAATTTCAGTAATCAAGTTAGTTAAGATTGAGCAGCACATTTCCGAAAAAAAACTCAGCAGAAAATACTCAAACTAGTTCCCAATGACTATTGCATGATCAGCGAGCTAGTATTCCCTCGAACAGAGACAGGAGCGACGTTTACACTCTTTGGCCATTACTCTCACGTCCTACAGAGATCACTCTTGTTTACGTAATCAGTTGACGTAGTGTTCAGGGTGTTTATCTATAGTTTTACTGTTTCTGGCTTAATTTTGGCAACTAATATAGACTATGTAAATTTCAATTTAATAGAAATCTAAATATTTTCTGTCATTTGGGGAGAGCCCCATCACTTCAACTGAACTCTTCTCCTATAGGAAGCTTGTTTTGGCCTTTTCTTCAGTACATTCAGGAAAGATGGTTCAAGATATTTTCTTTTTTTTTTTTGAAGTTCAAGTCTGATGCAAAAGTCTGGTGCAAATAAAAGTGATACAGCGATAGGCTCACTACTTCTCGCGATGGCCCTCATGATCATCACCGCGGAGGCGAATTCACCAATTTTTCTTGTGAATTAAGGGGTGAAAGTTAATTTGGAGACCTGTTTGATCTCACCGTGCGCTATACGACACCGTGGCGATTCGGACCGAACATATTGTCAAGATGAAGCTCCTGACCTCACCATGAGATCAGAAGATGACCAGAAACTTTGTAAAAGGATTCCCTCGACCTCTTAATCTTTGGTGTGGCCACTTACAAGGGAAGGATCCCAAGTCGAATTGGCCATTTGAAATGGGACCCATACCGCTAGGCGTATTTTTTGACGCTGATTTCAAATCTGCATTCAAAATCTGCCAAACGATTCTCTGAACGAAGTTATGGAGGTGGTCTCCGGAGAGCGCTCAACAGAGGAAAGCACAAAAGCCATGGTCGCCGGCAGCCGAGCAGTGGCGGCTTGGAGTGGAGGTAAGCATGAGCTTCACAGGCACGGGACCAAGGATCCATATATACCTTACTTTGCCGGGTTTGCCACACGGCA